TGAGCATCTTTTCTTATGTTGTATTATTACTTTACCTGACCTTTTTGTTTGATTACAATCATGTAGCTTATCAAGTCTCTCGGTGACTGTTTCCACAGCAACAGCACAGTATTTGAAGGAGTTTTTCAGAAGAAGCCATTTATTTTCTCCTTCTTCTTGGTTTTATGGACTCCTGAGTACTCTGTAATAATGACCACTGATTGAAAAGGAGGAATAAAAGGAGCCAGTCCAGACAGAACCACTGTAGTGTCTTGTACTGCGGTGGCCTTGGAGTCCTCCTCTGACACATTTGAAGCAGATGGATGGCAAATCAGACACTCTTCTTTATATAACGACTTTTTGACTTTGGTTCATGTTGACATGACAACATCATGCAGTTGCTGTAGATTTGTTGGCTGATGAGAATCTCCTGTTTCACCACATCCCAAAGCTGGTTTATTGGACTGAGATCTGGTGACTGTGTTTGTCATTTACAGTGAACTCATCTTCATGTTCAAGAAACCAGTTTGAGATGATCTCAGCTTTGTGACATAGTGTGTTAGTCTGCTGGAACACTGTGGTCATAAAGGATGGACATGGTCAGCAAAAATACTTAACTAGGCTGTGGTATTTAAATGATGCTTATTTAGTAATAAAGGGCCCAAAGTGTGCCAAGAATATATCCCCCACACCGTTACACCGTTGGCAGCTTGAACTGTTGATACAAGCAGAATAAATCTGTTTACAGCACATTCTGACTCTACCATCTGAATGTTGAAGCAGAAATTGAGACTCAGGCGACGTTTTTCAAATCTTCTCTAAGTCCCTTAGTTTCCTGTTTAGCCTACAGGAGTGTGGTCTTCTGTGGCATTTGAGATGCTCTTCTGCATACCTTAGTTGTAACGAGCTGCTTATTTGAGTTACTGTTGCATACAGTACCTATTACCTTAAAGAAGTCAGCCCATTCGCCTCTGACCTCTGTCATCAATAAAGCAATTTCTCCCACAAACTTGCTGCTCAATGGTTATTTTCAGGCCATTCTCTGTGGTCTGAAACCCTAGAGATGGCTGTTTATAAAATACAACCATGCCACATTCAAAGTCGCTTAATTGAACTTTCTTCTTCGTTCTGATGCTCAGATTGAGCTTCAGCAGGTCATCTTGACCACATCTACATGCCTAAATGTATTGAGTTGCTGCCATGTGATTGGCTGATTACATATTTGGGTTAAGAGGAGTTAAACAGACGTACCTACAGTGGTACTGAATATGATGCACCTTGCTCACTGCCACACTAACTTAGCTATCCAGGCTGTCATTCAAATGTGTCTGTAAAAACTGGTCAAGCACTGCTTTGAATTTAAAGCCCAAATTCTTATTGAAATATTGATCAGTGAATGGAAGTTTACCAAAATAAAAGAGAGATGGAGCGAGTGAAAAACAAGCTGCAACAACTTAGAACTATTTTTTATAAAAGCTCTACAAAACCTACAGCTGCTCACTATGCTTCAGTTAAACAAACATAGTAAATATTCCTCCCAGTTAGATTGTATCGTTATATCACCGCCCTACAGTT